AGATAAAACAAAGCACCAAATGAAAGGGAGAGATATTGAAAGTCGCATGTCAGAAGAAAAGCCGCGAGAGAATCTATTTACAATCACACAAAAAAAAGCTTGGAAGATGACATTCACATTGAAGTATTCCTACGAATATTATTTGTTGACGGGAAAGTGAGGTATAAATTAAAAAGCAATTAAAAAGACATGCCACTGAAGCGAATGGGCACCACAGAAGCAACCAATAGGATTTTAAAGAACATGACACAGCTGGCACCAGAATTTCTGTTACTAAGCAAGGTTGTTAATGGAGTTGTGTCTGATTTCACAACCTTTGTTGCTACTCAGGATGTTGCAGACCCTGTGAATCCATGCCTGTGACCAAGCATCTGAATTTTGATCACGTGACTTGGGGATGTTATGACAGTCGTAAGTGTGAGGATTGGTCATAAGCCATTTTTTTCCAGTGCCATTGTAACTTCAAGCAGTCGCTAAACAAACTGTCGTAGGTTGAGGAGTACCTGTAATGTGGCCATGGCTTTGGAGTGGACATATGATCCCCCTGCTTCCATAGTACAGCCAACCATAGATCATGAATCAACTTCAACAAAACAACTTCATGAAAATATATATATAGAAGGACAAGAAAGCAAAGTGGATGAACTCCAGCAAGATCTGGCGAATAACATCTGGAAATATGTTGTTTAGAACAGGGGTCCCCAACCCCCCAGTCCATGGCCCACTAATGGGCCATGGCCTATTCAGAATTGGGCTGCGTGAGTGGCTGGCCAGAGCATGTGTGCGCAACTCAACTTGTGTGAGTGGCAGACTGGTGGGCACTCGCATGCATGCATGCCAGACCACCACTCACACAAATTGAGCTGCATGCATGCATGCTGGCCTGCTACTTGCACAAGGGCTGCGTGCATGCTCGCTGGCCCACCACTTGCGTGGCCCAATTTCCCTCTCCCCTCCCTGCAGCTGGGTTACCAAGCTGCAAAGATTGGGAACCACTGGTTTAGAACTCCTGAAAATTCCAGACTAAATGTAACTTCCAGTCAGTGATGTTCCAAGATGTTTCGGTGGGCACTAAAAGGCAATTCCTTGATCCATGGAATGCCAAGGAACGAAACGGGGCAATGTGTCCACAGTCAGCAGTACTCTTAGTCCTTATTTGTGATATGCACAGTCCTTCCAAGAAGGATTTAGCTAGATGTGGTGGGATCTAAGATGCTGGCTTGATGTAGGAGATGACCAGGCTGAGCCCGAGGAAGGGGTCAAACACGTCATAAATCACGAGTCCCTGCGTGCTCACGAGAAATCTAAGTCCAGCCTACTTTGAATGCCTTTCTTATCTCCTGCTCATTTCCCTTGACAATTAGTAGCTCAGATTCTTGTAGAGAGCTTAAGCTTGCAATAAATCTTTATATACACATCTGAACTGTCTGAATCTCCTGATTTCCCCAACACTTGACACTCTCCTAACAGAGTTAAGATCCACACTTCCATGGGTACTACACGAGAAAAATATTCTCATGCACACATCATCATATAAAATCCAACGGATAATTCTAGGAGATTTTGTCCAACCCTGTTTTATACACATACTGTACGTTCACAAAGCTGTGCTGCACAGGTAGTATGATAATCATACTAGGAGGTGCCTGGAGGTGCCTAGAGATGAAGTTTTTATGAATTTAAAGGAAAGAAGACCCAAAGGGGTATTTATGATCAGAAGCGAAAACAGGATTCTATAACAATATTTCTGCACCTTCAGGATAAGGCTAAGTTGGGTACCCTCTCAATGATCTTTTAAGTATAAGTGGCTGATGCTCCTTTACTAAATGTTTGCATTTCATTTTCAATTGGGGAAAGTTATTTTGCAATTCATATTTCCCAACATAAAAATGATATATATTGCCCCTCTGACTGCGAAATGAACTTATAAAGAAGATCCACATATTCTTGTACTCAGGAATGAGCACTCGGAGGTGTGGGTGTATCTCACAAAAAAAATATGTTGAAATGTTTAGATCGCGAAAGAACCAAATATGTGGGAATCGTTCAACACTGTCAAGACATTTCCAATTTCTGCGCAGCTAGAAAGACTGATGCAAATAAACAACAGAGAGATATGTCAAGCGCAGGACACAGATATCTGTGAATTAGAAGGAGTTGAATGGAATAAAAACATTTTAGACTGAATTCAGCAAAATAAGTGGGAACGGGACTGCAGCTGATTCTAACAAGGAGAGCATTAAGGAGGAAGTAGTTGGACCAGTTGCGTTTCTACTTCTCTTTCAGTTTCCTAAAGTCTTGCTTTAAAAAAAAACACACAATGAGGTTTTTGTGAGCAAAAAAGTTCCATGTGAAATTACTTTCCATAAACAAGATAGTTGTGCAAATTTAAAAAAAAAAAGTTAATTTGAAAACCTGCATGTTCTCTTGCATGAAAGAGCCTCAAAAATCAAATCAAATAAAGATTGCGTTGCTGAATTCTGTAAGCCTGCTATTAGTTAAGGCTTGCATAGATTTACTGGCCGAAAAAAAAGTGAAATTAAAGCTTTTGTCAGTTTGAGAGGAGCTGAACACCCAGGGGATTTTTAAGAAATATAGATTTTACCAATCAAACTCACATCCTCTTTCAAAAGGCTGTTGTGAAACAACCATTCATTTCAATCAAGTTTTCACAGAAACCAGAACCTCAGAAATACTCTTTGTATCAGAGCATGCTTGACAAATGGCACCCCTTATTTAAAAAGAAGTGCTATTTATGTTGTATTAAGGAGTGTGGGCAAATGAAGATATGTCTTTCTGCCAAAGAGTGTTGCACTTCTGCGCTTCCCCCATAGAAGCATTTGTGACTCCTACAGGACACTTGTTGGACACTAAATATGTTTCAAGATCCATGCAAAGCACATAAAAATGCATGTTCTTTTCTTCTTTCCAATTTCACTAAAAGAAACCTTGAAAAGAGGTCTCTCAAGGAATGACCAAGAGCTTGATGTGGGAAAAGCCCTTGGAGCATTACAGGGAGAGCATCTTAATTCTTGCAGGCATTAGCTGGACATCTAAGGCCTATCAAAGAGAAAGCATATCATATTCCCTCTGATATCCATCTGCTACTTTTTTGTCCTATCTTTTCATCCAAGAAGAGAGAACACACCAATAAAGCTGTTACTAGGTGATTGTGCTTGATAAATTAGACTCTGTGCTGTGCCAATGAGCAGCCTACTCCAATGAACTTCATCTACTTCACACCACTTTGGTTGAGACCAAGAAAGTTGCACAATGTGTCTTCAACATGTAGCATCTCAAATTTGACTCGACTACAACAACTATGGAAAAACACATCTCTCTCTCTCTCTCTCATCCACACTCACATTAAGTTGGCATTTGAGGGAAACAGAACAATCAGATCAGATTTAGGAGAAGATATTGCATGATCAATATTCTCATAAGGGAAATGAAGTGTGACTACTATGTCACTGCCCACTCTGATCTAGAAAGCTTTCTCCAGCTAAGATTTCGAAGTAATTGCAGTGGCAATCTGAAATACTTTGTAATTATCCCATTATAGCCACCCTGTAATAGTGGACTGTTGTGCGGAATCTTAAAAGGCTGTTTTAAACCCAGAGGCTGCACAAATGCCCAACCTTAGAATGCTTAAGTACGTGATGCTCCCTCTAAAACTGCTGGCTCTGGCCATCCTTCTTTGTTGCTTGACTTCGTCTGCAGCCTTGGAAAAATCCAGGATCCATTTCAAGCACACTTTTTCCAAATAGGCTAAGTATTTAGAGACGAGACATTTCTCATCAAATTCCCCCATGTTCAGAAGATCACTAGAGCCGTTTCATAAGTACATTAAACAAGAAGGGAGAAGGAAAGCAGATTAGCAAATAAATAAATTAAAAATAAACGACACTCTGGAAGATAATCCTCTAAAATATTAAATTCTGGACACAGGTTGGGTTTTGTGTGCACTAACACATAAATATAGAGGACTGACAAGTGGCATAATCACTGCAAGCCGTGGGCACGGAGGCACCACTAACACAGAACCGATTACTGGAGAGCCTTCTAAGCTGGCTTGTTTGACCCTTTGCTCACGTGAAAACTAAACTTCATTGGTTAAGCATGGTTAACTTTCCGGCTCATTAATAAGGGATGGCTGAGCTGCCCTCCCTCGGATGGGAAGACCCTCCTTCCCAAAGCCCCTCAGCTTCCCAGGAGGCGAACATCTGGAACTGGGCGGGTATAGAACAAAGGGCTGAGCAGCGGACCCAAGCGCCACATCTGGCGGGTCTTCACTCAATGGAGGCCGGTTGGACCCGAGCCCTGTCCAGGGTGCTGAAGCCTGCCAGCCGCCCGCTTCTCATTTTTCGCCGCCACCTTTCCCCTCCCGGCGTCTCCGCCCTCCCCCCCCCCACCGCCCGCTTGGGTCGGTCACCACCCAGTTCGGAGGCTCCCCGGAACCGCGCAGCGCATCGGGCGGATCCGCAACAGGTTTGGGGCTAGAAAACAGCCGCCTTTCCCCGGAAATCACCTCCTCCCAGGCTCACGTCTACCCCACCACTCAAGGCACCGCAAAGGGGCTGATCCGCCCTGGGTCCACGGTGGGGGGCTTCGGCTTCCACCCCAAGGGAGCATCGCCAGGAGCTCCGGGCCCTGCGCGCAACGGGGGCTCTCCAAAAGGCTCCGCGCGAACGAGCAGCCCGCTGCCCCTCCTTGGCGGCCCTTGGAAGCCGCCGCAGCAACGCCGGGCTCTGCCAGGAAGAGGCAACCTGGCCGCGGCGGTCCCTTCTTCCTCTCCAGGCAGACAGACAGGCGCTCCCCCGCCCCTCCCTCTAAAAAAAAATAATCCTTTTGTTAGCTGCAAATTGCAAGGACGGGCTGCGCCGGGAAGGGGGCGGCGGCGGCGGCGGTCCGTAGGAGGCCTGGGAATGGGGGTGGGGGTGTGGGGGTCCTTGGCACCGGCCCCTCAGCGCCCAAAGGCCCCGAGAGAAGCGCCCACTCACCGTCCCGGTCGCAGAGCTGAATTGCCTCCAGGCTGAGGTTCTTGAGGACATCCTCGCAGGGGCTGGCCGGGCTGCTCCGGGGATGGTCCAGGCGAGGCACCTCCATCCTCCCGACTCGTGGGCTGGGCTGGGCTGGGTTGGGCTGGGCTGGGTTCTCGCCCCCTCCCTCGGAGCTGCGGGCGGGCAGCGGGGGGGCCAGGAGGGTGGGAGAGGGCGCCCTCTGCGACAGCCTGGCAGCGCTCCTGCCTCTGGCCCGACTGGCTGGGAACTGCGCGGTGCAGCAGAGGCGCGCGCGCGCGCCCGCGCTCTCCCTCCCTCCCGCCGTCCCTCCCCGGGGCTGGCTGGCTGGCTGGCAGCGGGCGGGGATTAGAGGAGGGAAAGAGGGACGGCCTGGCAAGCCCTGCGCTGGCGCGGGAAGGGAGGAGCAGGAGAAAGAAGAGGAGGAGGAGGAGGAGGAGGAGGAGGAGAGGAGGAGGAGGAGANGGAGGAGAAGAGGAGGAGGAGAAGGAGGAGAAGGAGAGGAGGAGGAGGAGAGGAGGGGAGGAGGAAGAGGAGAAGGAGGAGGAGGAGAGGAGGAGGAGGAGGAGGAGGAGAGGAGAAGGAGGAGGAGGAGGAGGAGAAGGAGGAGGGCACCGATGCTGCTCACCTCGCTCCGCCGTTCGCAGCGTCTAGATGCAGAGCGCCCGTCCTCCCCCCACCCCACGCCCCCGTTTACCGGGAGTGCAAGGCCGTGTTGAGCCCCTGAAGCCCCCTCCCCTCCTCTCGCCCCCCCCGTTGCTTACGTCAAGCTTGACCCACGGGCGCGCTGCCATTTTGGGGGCTGCGGCGATGCTGACCACCGCTGCCCCCAGCGTCCCTCCCGATCCTTTGGGTCCGGATCCGCTTTCAGGGTTTGGGTCGGGCGCTGAGCTTGCCCCGTTGACGCATTTTCAAGAGAACTCCGCGATTGCCCCGGGTCTTGGACTCGCAAGGCAGGTTTCATCTCCAGCTTTTCTTCTGCAAGTCTCTCTTGCAATGGGGCTTCCAGGCAAGCCCCAAAGCCCCTTTCTGGGTTGAAAGTGGAGCAGGGGCTGAAATGCAAGGTCGGGCCAAACGGTAAGAAAAGTGAAGTCACACCAACTGCAGGGTGAAGATCCTTCTTGGTTTTCCCCTTCAGCTCTTGTGTGAAGAGAGAGTTAGTTCCTTGGTGGCAGCTCGTCATTCCATAGGTGTCCAGCTAGGACAGGGGTGTCAAACTCAATTTCATTGAGGGCCGCATCAGCATTGTGGTTGCCCTGGGGGGGGGAGTGTGTGTGGCCAGGGTGGGTGCAGCCTACTGGGTGGGCGTGAATGGAGTGGGTGTGGCCTACTGGATGGGCATGGCCAGCTCTACAATATTCACGTCAAGGGTGCCTGTGGGGGCCTGGGCAGAAGTGGGACAGATCTGAGGGTCTCTGGCAGAAGGGGGGGGGATCGGGGCAAGCGCCAAGGCATGATCCATTTCTTCATTCCTCACAAAGGGTGACACCTCCCCAGCATGCACCCAGGGGGCGGGGCCGACGCAGCAGGGGCTGGTTCCTCGCTGTTTCCAGATGGCCTTGTGGAGCTAAGACTGAATGCGCTTCAGCATAGATGGCCACTGCAAAATTGTACATTGGCTCCTACCAGCCTGGGCCAGGGCCAAGGCAGAGGGGGCCATTCCCTCACTGTTTCCAGGATGGCTTCGTGGGCCACATGAAACCACTTTGCGGGCCGCATCCGGCCCCCGGGCCTTGTGTTTGACATGTCTGAGCTAGGAAGTTGAGAGGTACTAGATGGCTGGTGGCCATATTACAGCTATCTTTTGGAAGCTGGAGGCATCAGCCCTGGAGGTTAGTAGATCGTGCCCTCTTCAGCCTCTCCTTGAGATTTCCCACCACACTTTTATGAAGGAGGCTGGCTCTATCCAATGATAGGCCAGCATTTTAATCTTTGCGCTATATTCACTCAGTTAATTTTATTAGAATACAGAATAATAGAGTTGGAAGGGACCTTGGAGGTGTTCTAGTCTAGGGCTTTTCAATCTTTTCACCCATTGTACCACTTTTAGGATATGGCAATATCCGAGTACCACCAGTCGCCTAGCAAGGTGTCAAAAACTTGATGACCAAAAAGAAAGAAAGAAAGAAAAAAGTGATAAAGTACAGATAGTCCTCAACTTACAACAGTTCGCTTACTCTTCTAAGTTACAACACCTCGGAGGCTCCCTAAAGCTGTTTCTTCTCCCCCACAGCTCCGTAAAGGGCTTTCGACTGGAGCACTGGTAATAGTAGTAGTAAAACTACTAAAACCAATCCCCTTTGGTTTCTAAGATCAACCAAAGTCAATAATTAAATCAGATTATTGAGTGGTGACTTTTCAAGTGGAATCAGATATCCTAGTGGTGACTCTTCAAGCTACTCCCCAATATTTTCTACCTGCAAAAATTCAGGGTCTTATAGTATGTAAGGTCTTTCCTGTCATTTTCCATAAAATGTATCCAGGAAGCTTACAAACAAGGTGCTGGTCCTGGAGAGTCACAGGTAGAAATATGGTGTAGAAGCATCTGATCCTTTCATGCTGTCTCCACCACCTCCATATGGATTCATATTTCCAGTAAGTGACAGATTGGAAGATATATATTGGTGGTTTCTAAAATATGGCAGGAACAAGAAAATAAAACAGAGCTTCAAATATTACACCATGTTGTCTAAAAAAATGACCTAAAGATTCCCAGGGATGAACGATGTTAATCTGGGATCTTCCTAACAGTTCCAATGCCCACACAAATGACTGTCAGGAAGCAACTCCAACGTTGGGCTCAAAATATAGGAGAAACAATACCTATGGATACTTGGGAGTTGATCTGGGTGAGAAATGTGAAGTTTACACAAGCTCAAAATTTACTTGAAAATTTTTATAAGATGTTTTATAGATGGCACTTGGATCCCTCAACTATGTCTCGTATCTATCCGAATTATGAATCCAAGTGTTGGAGGTGTGGTCATCCAGATGCAACCTTTTTTCATATGTGGTGGACTTGTAAGGTTATTAAGGCCTTTTGGGTACAATTATGGTGGAACCTTCAGCAGATTTTTAAAAAAAGGATTATTTTCCTTCCACAGCTGTTTCTTTTAGGTATTGTGCAAGATTTAGATGTAAAAGAAACAAATTTGATGCTTTATTGTTTATCTGCTGCCCGATTGCTAATAGCCCAAAATTGGAAGAGCCCAATTCTGCCTACGATGGGAGACTGGAGATTGAAAGTTTCGTATCTTGCTGAAATGGCAAAGATTTCGGCTTACCTGAAGAACCATTCGAACGAACAATTTTTATCAATATGGAGAAGATGGATTGTTTATATTCAAAAGAAACATAGTGTGGTAGAATATAATTTAGGTTTCTAGATTTTTTTAAGTTTGTTTACTTCTATCTTTTCTTGTAGATTAAGATATTTTGTGGAGTTAGAGATATTAGTATTTGTTTACTTTTATATGAATATTATCCTGGGATTAGGTTTGGGAAGTTCTGGGGGGGGGGTGGTTATTGATTGGTTATTGTGATTACTTACGATTGTTTTTTTATGATGGAAAAAATAAATAAAATTTCTAAAAAAAAAAAAAAAAGGAAGCAACTCCAACGTGTGTTGGATAAGCTATTTCCGTCTCCACACATCCACGTTTTCAGAACCGCCTGGATGAATCTTTGTAGAGAATGGATCAAATCTAGAACGGAAAACCAGAAAAATAAGGTGGCAGGTGATCAGCTATAAAGCTTACAAGCACAAATGAATCCATTCTCAATGAAATGTCAAAGGCGATGCTGGTGGGAAAGTTAAGGAAGAATAAAACTAAGCACAAAAACAATTTAAGAACGTACCCAACAACATAAACATGAAGCCCACGACAGATGCATTACTATGCAAATCATATGAGTATAGAATTGACTGGAATTTGCATATCTTAATATATTGCATTGCAAAACAGGAGGTGTGCAAATAGCAGAATACGATTGCAGTGAAAGGTCGTGTTGGTTCTTATGTTCTTTTGGGGACAGTGCCTCTCTGGTTTCAGAGCTACTTATTTATAGCTTGCATGGAAGAAACTGATCATAGAATTCTAGGAGTAATTACAAAGACAAAAGGGCACAAATAAAGAGAGTGGCCACTAAAAGCATAAATAGATATTCATCCACAGAGGCTGACAATATTTTAGTCTTCCCCTTATTCAAAATCAATGTGTGCAGATCAAAGACGGCTGAATCTAAAATGCAGCTCAATGGATTCGTGGATGACAACAATATGGAGCATTTTCACCATGGGTTCCTGGTTTAGACTGTTCAATTGTGCTAACCAGTAGAAGAACTGAGTTGGTTTTGATCCGTTTTCTAGCAAAGGAGCAATTAATTTCCAATAGATATATTTGGCATCTTTCACTAGCAATTCTTCCCTTCGGAGTGGAACCAGTGTGGTGTTTTATAAATCTCGTTTTGTAAGCTGATCATTTGATTTTGCACATTATTTGTTCGTTGCTGTTTTTCACTCTTGTAGTATTACATGAAATTGACTGAATAAAGGAAAACCCAGTGTACAGAAGCATTATTACAAGGAAGAAATGCAGGGAAAGGCCCCAAAACTACCATCATTCAAAAGCCAAATGGTAAAATCTAGGATTGTGGTCATATCTCTTTCATGCTGGATATCTGTTCTGTTCTATTCTATTCTATTCTATTCTATTCTATTCTATTCTATTCTATTCTATTATTATTCTATTCCACTCTATGTTCTGTTCTATTCTATTCTATTCTATTCTATTCTATTCTATTCTATTCCACTCTGTTCTATTCCACTCTATGTTCTATTCTATTCTATTCTATTCTATTCTATTCTATTCTATTCTATTCTATTCTATTCTACTCTACTCTACTCTACTCTACTCTACTCTACTCTACTCTACTCTATTCTATTCCACTCTATGTTCTATTCTATTCTATTCTATTCTATTCTATTCTATTCTATTCTATTCTATTCTATTCTATTCCACTCTATGTTCTATTCTATTCTATTCTATTCTATTCTATTCTATTCTATTCTATTCTATTCTATTCTAT